TAAATCAAATGAACTCTTAGTTTTTTCTCTATATATATATATCATCTTTTTTTTTTTTATATTAGACTACGATGATGCGTTTCCTTTTTTTATTTTAATTTTTGGGTTTCTTCATTATTACTAATTAAAGGATGCAAATCACGTGGGTTAATCTCACTTTATAATAATAATTAAAGGATGCAAATTAAATTATTATAGACGAAAAGTAGTGGTGATTGGTTTGGTCCCTGTATGTGATTGTGAAAGATCCTGTAACACTTTCAATATATACTTTGAAAAATTGAGATATGACCAAGTCTGTTGGTCTTGTCAATTAATTTGAAGCATATCCATAATGATTTAGCCTTTAAAGTCGGTAGCTTCTAATTAACCAGCTGAGACATAATATTGCAATTAATGACTTGATATTTTTTAATGCCAAAGGGGGTACTGGAGGAGCTGGAAGCTTCCATTAATGAAATAAAACTGAATCTGGAAGGTTTGCCTTTTCAAGGAGCATTGATTGAAAAACTGACCAAGCAATATGTATCTGTATTTGGTTATCATTTATTAGAATTTTTTTTTTTACTGTTGATATATACTTTAGGTCGGAGAAGGTCAAATTTAGCTTAATACGATATGTTATCCATACCTATATTGATTATAGAATTCCAAAACCTATTTTTCAAACAAAAAAACTCACCCCAATAGGGTGGACAAGGACAAATACCACAGGGTAGGATATACATTGCCATCCCTACCCAATACCTACAAACTATTGACTGTTTAAGAATGCAATAAATTGAGAGATGGTTTATGATTGGGCCTATGAAAAAGCAATCAGATTGATTTTCCAAAGGGTAAAGATCATTAGGGTTTGTATTTTTATCACCTAAATTTCTTTTTTTTTTCTTTAGGGAAAATTCCAGATTAGTACCTTATAATTTGGGCTTAGTGCCACTTTGGTCCCGAACTTTAAAATACGACAATTTAGTACTTAAGCTTTTAAAACGTAACAGTCTAGTACTTGCTGTTAATTAGTTATTAACCAGCTGTTAAGTGGCATTTGAAAAAAACACAAATGCCCTTTGAGTGTCATCTAATTTTCTTTATCAACTATCTAAACATTGATAAAAAAAGTAACCGTTCCAAATTTTTGCCTTTTCCACTCAAGAAAGTTAGGGTCATGTTTGAGTGGGCATTCTGGTGACCCCAACTTTCTTGAATAGGATTTGTGACTTGCTAATTTTTTGTCAATGTTTGGATGGTTGTTAAAGAAAATTAGATGACATTCGAAGGGCATTTATGGCTTTTTCAAAAACAACTTAATAGCTGGTTAACAGCAAGTACTGAATTGTCATGTTTTGAAAGTTGAGATATTAAATTGTTACATTTTAAAATTGGGAAACCAAAATGACACTAGATGCAAAGTACAAATATTAATCAGGAATTTTCCATTTTCTTTACCTAAAACCCCCTACTTTTTTGGGGCGAAAAAACTGACTGTTGGTAAAAAACAGCCTGGACTGTTTTAAAAGCCTGCTGTGAATGACACCTCATAATGAATGTGCATAAAATAGAGGCTTCATTTGCTTGGACATAAAGAGGAAGAAAATAAGCCACGTGTCAATAAACTGTGTTGGTTAAAGTTTAGGTGCTACCGTGCTATTAGTCAGCCCAAATTTAAGATTTATTTTACATAGACAAAACTATTTATATAATTCATGGACAGTTTTTAAACCGTTATAATTTATAAGTTGATAGTTTATGAATAATTATGAATGGATGGTTTCTGAAGTAGTGAAGTGAAAATAAAGGACATATATACTCTCTTTATGTCCAATGTGTGCTTAGATAAGAGGGGCAGAAAATGTCCAATAAAAATCTCAGAAAAAAAAAAATTCACTCTTTTATAAGTAGTATAGATTATTTATGAATCAATATAAGGTAGGATGTGGCTGTGAGATCGGTGTAAAGCACACTCTGTAAGGAATAACGAATATATCCCAATTCCTGAAGCCGAGATAATCAGTCTTTTTCAACCAACCTAAACCTATATATTCTTAAAGATAAGAGCAAATCTCCCTCTCCGACGTCCCCATTTCCATTTCCGACAAGATAAATGGTATCATCGATTGTGCTTGTTGGCCCCAACAAAACCAAGGTCCTGGCCGCTGCTGGTTTTCTTATCGTCAAAGGGTGCTTTGCAAATTCCAAGCTTGATCATCGCTGGCTAGCTCCAGACGAATTATATATATATAAGGTCAAATTTACGCCACAACTCTTGTTTTTACTCAACCTCAGCGCACTGAGAGTCAATTGTTTTTTTCTCCCTTTCTGGGTAGAGAGAGTCAATAAGTTGGGGAAGTATATGGTTGATGAGTTGGGGCTCATGACGAAAGGAGGCCTAACTTTCGCCCAGCTAAATTAGCTCTGACGAGTGAGGACTACGAAAGGGACTTCCCCAAACATGCCCCCTAATTTTATAACTTCATCAGAAATAAAACCAACTGGCAGTTGCACCTTCACTATATTCTTGAAACGGACAGCTCACCAAAATCCATTGAAATTAGAGCTCGCAAAGGAAAAAGAAATACGAAGTTGAACCCTGGCGATGATGGTGTTCAGTATTCATTGTTGAATCCTGAAACAAAGCCTATTTATTCAGAAGATGGTACAACGGACCCCCAGCTGCGGCCTGTGGGTACACCTGTTCATGGGCCGGCCCAATCTAAATCGGGTTTGGATAAGATTTCAGGCCTGCGAGTTTGGGCTCGGGTTTAAAATATTGGATTCGATTTTTTTTTGGATCGGGTTCGATCTTTCTCAAAATATATATATATATATATAATATTTTTCGTTATTTTTCTTCTTTTTTTTTCAAATAATAATAAGATTTTTCACTATATATATATAATATTTTTCTTTATTTTTCTTCTCTTTTTTCAAATAATAATAAGATTTTTCATTATTATTTTTAGGTTTTAAGGTCTTTTAATATAAATAAAACAATTTTTAATTGAATTAAAAAGAAAAAAAATCATTTTCTCTTCCAAATTTTTAACCAAGCTCAGATTCGAACCCGGGCTTTAGACTTTATATGAGGGTCGGGCTCGGGCCTGAACATATTTTATTAATGTGGAGGCAAAGCCCAGCCTGGTCGACCCGTGAACAGTTCTTAATGTCTTATATTACTTGAAAAAAAAAATCAGGAGATCTGAATATATAAACTACCAAACCTGACGCTGTGATTTTCTTGCTGGAAGAAAGATGACTCATGGATTAAATGGATCAACCACGTAATTCATTCCTTCTGGTGGTGGAGGTTAAATCTTAAATCCCAACTTCATGCATGCACGAGGGACCCAATCCCCAGTCCAACTATCGCTGTCATTCAAACTGCAGAAGCACCATTTTGTCAACGTAATATAGTTGTGGTGGTTGTAGCCTTGCGGGTAGACAACGTGGAAAAGTAGTATGATAGATATATCAAGAAAACTGCTACCTGCATGCATCAAGGCTAAGGGATCCAGTGATGTGGAGATTTTATAGACCATTATTGATTGACCTGATCGAATCACCTTTTATTTAACTAAATCTACAAGCTAATAGCCATGTAATTGGAGAAAAAAAATTGGGCCGGATTGCTAAATCTTTCCAATGATTAGAAATTAATGTAGGTGAAGAAATGGATAAGACTGTATATAGTGCATGCGATCTTGTAAAAAGAAAGAAATTTGGTGGTAGATTGATCTTTCTACATATCTTCAGCAACAATTTTATCTTTGGCATTAGCTTATGCTTAGCTTTCATCATCTGCAGAGACGCCAGGATATTGTGAATGATTTGACAATTCATTCTAACCAAGAGAGAATGATGTTGTCGCTGATTATTGTAACAAGTGATGGGACTAGTAGAGGGAAACTGGTAAATGGCAAATAGGCCACTATTGATCTCTTTGGTTTGTCATTTCTTCGACTTGGACCCCAGTATAGTTTCAAAGCTTTTTGTCCGCCGGTTTAATTGATACATTATTAATCAGAAATTCAGAATTAGAGCCTGGGATTGCTCGCAAGGCTACGGTTTGGTTGCAGTGCACTTTTACTTGATGTAAAAGAAACTGTTGATGTGCAAACGCACTCTCTCTGTACAGCAACCTGTTTGTGTGTCTACATTTGACAGCTTATTCTTTTTCACGGGGAAGCACACAGTGTTCAATCAAAATGCTTTTAGGAACAGCAATTACATTAATGGTTGTTGAGTCAGATTAGTATTTGTAACCTAATGTTGGGAACCATGAGTGACATTTAGGTGGTGATGATGCCAGTGGTGACCACTTCTTGCTGAGATGTTGCATCTGCCAGTGGCCAGAGGACACTGAACTAAGAGGAGGTGTAGCCCAACCAGTTGCCCACCACCCACTAACAGATTGAACACAGCAAACATGATTTTGTATTCACTTTTGGTTCTTTTGGGTATAAGAGTAACAAGGTATGTTTTAAGTCTATTATAAAATTAAAATTTCAGGGTATCTTTAATTCAATTTCTTAAATCTCAGGGTATGTTTAAATCTTTTACCCAAAAAATAAATCAGAATTTGCACTATCATGGTTTTGTACCAGTACAAAACAATTTGCACTGCAACCAAAGGCAGCCTAAGATTCAAAATCCCCCTTGCCCGTTAAAATTCAAGATTCTTAAAGCACTTCAACAAAGCCTCCAATAAATGGAAGGGCATTTCCCTCTTCTGAAGGGAAATGGCTCCAGCTTCTGTAAAAGCACTTCCATATTTCAATTATCAATTACCACGAAACATAGAGAAGCACTTCTCTCTCCAGGAAGCTGAAAAGGAAGTGCTTCCCTGAAGCAATCTAAAACAGGGTTGAAGATTTTTCTCGCAAAAACTGAGTTTGAGAATAGATCCCATAGCTTGGATACAATTGCAGTAGATTCCTTCCAACCTCTGTACACCCTTGAGGTGTCAACAGATCAATTTGTTGTTAATAATCTTAGAAATGGGCTAGTTAATAAGTGGTTCACCAAAGTTGGACAAAAAGAACAATAAAATCCTCAAGAACCCCTTGGCCATTGCCAAAGTTCCTACAATGCCTGAAAATTGCAAGTGAAGCTACACCAAGAACACGAAACAATAGAAAAAGTTTCTCACAATACAGTTCTGTTCTCTATAGTTTTACAAGCCACTGACAGTTAGCAATTAATTTTCCAATTCCCCAATGTAGAATTCATCAACCATGTCAAAGACCCTGGTAGCATGTTGTGGCCTGCCACAAAATATAGATTTGCTCAGAAACATGTAAAGAAAGTGTAGAGAACATTAATGTGGTGGTCCCCACTGTGTTTATTTGTGATGGTAGTTAGTTTCAGATAGCAGTTATTTCAGTTGGTAATTATTATTGCTTTTATTATTTCTTTTGCCATGTAAGCAGTAGGGGTAATTCAGCCCTTTTACTCTTTATTTGATTATTAATATAAATAGTTGAGTGGGGCGACAATCCTAGTTGACACACTCTTTCTGAATTCTTCTCTTCGTGTTCTCCTCTTCTTCTCCTCTTCTTCTTCTCTCCTCAATCTGTTTTCTTTGTTTATTACACATTATACCTAGGACTGATTGCAGTCCTATTCGACTACTTGGTATCAGAGCCAACCTAGGAATTCTCATGCTAGTCTAATCAGGCCGACTACATGAGAACTTCCTAGGGTTGGAAGTTTCAGCAGAGATATATTCATCGGCTGGTTCTTGGAGGTTGCTGGCAGTGTGCAATTGTTGCCAAGGGTTTGTAGGGCCTTGGAGAGTGTTCAACGATCAGGAAGAATCAGAAGAAGGGAAGAAATCTCAGTTTTAGGGTTCAGACCTTGGTTTGAAGGTGGTGGCTAGATCTTTCTGAGTAAGTTAATATTTGTTCTTGAGATTGAACCTAAAAAGAAATCTTTTTTATTAATCTGGGAGGTGCGGCTGAAAGATCTTTAGTTCTCCCTGAGTTTTAAGGGTTTCTTTCTTGACCTACGATCAGTTCTAGGATTGAAACCCTAAAGTTTATGATTGTTGCCAATTCTAGGGCAATAATTAGACCAGTTTCAGCATTCAAGATTGAGTTTTCTGCTTTCTGGAAAACTAACAAACCTGATTCAATATTTCTCGATGGTGGTCGAACCTTCTAGGTCAGCTGTTAAGCAAATTCCGGGTGTAGTTTCACCTATTTCAGTTCTAAAAAGGGGTTTTTTGACCTATAACTTGAGAAGGGCTGACAACAATGGAGTTTAAGAATCAAGGGGAATGTTTTTTGGAGGCTGGTGGTTCTGGTAGCATGCCTGAGAACAATTTTCAGATTACCACTGTCAAATTTGACGGATCAAACTACTTGGAGTGGGCCCAATCAGTCATGATGGCCATTGGGGGTAGAGGGAAACTGAATTATTTGTTAGGGGATGTGAAGGAACCACCTAAGGAGGACCCAACCTATGCCAAATGGGTTCAGGAGAATTATTTGGTTATGACATGGCTGTGCAACTCTATGCAGCCTCACATCAGCCGAAACTACTTGTGGGCAAAAACAGTTAAGGAATTTTGGGACATCATGAAAGAAACCTACTCCCAACCCCTTAATGTTGCTAGGGCTTATGAGCTGAAATGTGAAATTAATAGCCTTAAGCAAGGAGAGAAACCAGTCTTAGTTTACTTCTCAACCTTGAAATCCTTGTGGCATGAAATTGACCACCTAGAAACAATTGAGTGGGAAAGTGAGAAGGATGCACAGACTTACAGAAAGCAAGTTGACCATCTAGCTGGTCTGAATTCTGAATATGATATTGTGAGACAACAACTTCTCACGAGAGAAAGTGTGACCTTATCACAAGCCTACTCTTAGTGCATAGTGAAGAGAGTAGGAGAAAGGTTGTGTTGCAGCATCAGCCTTTTGAATCATCATTGGCAACAGTTAACCAAAGTTTGGGGGTGATAAGGAGAGGGATATGAAGAAGGAAGATAAGAGGGACCTAGTATGTGAACATTGCAAGAAACCTAAACATACTATAGACACCTGTTGGAAGTTATATCCACATCTAGTTCTAGCAAACTCAGAAACAAAAAGGAAAATGCCAATGTGGCTGTTACTACTGATTGTGCAACCTCATCGGGCACAAGAGCTACATCCCTCGACACCTTAGCTGTTGTCTGGGCTGATTTGACTCAGTTGAAGAGTGAAGTTGGTAATTCAGCACCATTATCTCAGTCTGTCAGTCACAACATCTTCTCCTTCCACTTCAGCTTTTGGTCATTCAGGTACACAGGCCTCAGCTTATCATGCTTCAGCCCTAGGTAACACTAAACCTTGTTGGGTGATAGATTCAGGTGCAAAAAAAAAAATTCATTAATGTAAAGAAATTACAGGGGTTATAGTTTATGAGTAGCCTCAACTACCCCACTATAGTGCATCCACTAGTAAATGGGAACATCTAAACCTTGTTGGGTGATAGATTCAGGTGCATCTGAGCATATGACTGGCCTGTCTTCACTGCTTAATATCTACCACTTATCCTCTGGTAGAGACAAAGTGTCTATTGCTAATGGCTCTCTTGTTCCCATTTCTAGTAAGGGAGACATCAAATTGTCTAAGGCCATTTCTTTGTCTTCAATTTTACATGTTCCTAAACTTAGTACTAATTTACTTTTAGTTAGTAGCATTACTAAACGCAAAATTGTTCACTAACTTTTTTTCTCTGATCGATGTGTTTTTCAGGATTTGGAGACAAGGAAGGTGATTAGGATTGGCCGTGAGACAAATGGAATCTACTTACTTGGAGGGAGCTCACATGGGGAAGATAGTGAAGTTAGGAAGTCTTTTGTTTCTTAGTCTGTTCGTTAGGTTATGCTTTGGCATAATCGGTTGGGTCATTTATCTTTTAGGTCTTTGAAAAGTTTGTTTCTTAGTTTGTTTGAATCTATCCAGATGTCCAATTTGAAATGTGAAAGTTGTGAGCTTGCAAAGCATTGTAAAACAACCTATTCATTGAGTAATAAAAGAAGTAGTATTCATTTTGAAATTGTGCATACTGATGTTTGGGGACATTATCATATCACTGCTATGGGGGGGGGGGGGTACAGATGTTTCTTGTTGTTTGTCGATGACTATACCCGCTTTTCTTGGGTTTACCTCATGCATTTTCGAGATGCTCCTACCTTAATCTGGATCTTCCATTAGATGATTTTAACCTAGTTTGGGGTCAAAATCAAAAATTTCAAATCTGATAATGCGAAAGAGTATTTTGCAAAACCATTAGCCTCATATTTCCTTGACCATGGGATTATCCATCAGAGTACTTGTCCTCATACACCTCAACAAAATGGGGTTGCTGAGAGGAAGAATAGACACATATTGAAGGTGACTAGAAGCATTATGTTTAGCTCCAATGTGCTTATACATTTCTGGGGAGATGCCATTCATACGGCTGTATATCTCATCAACTGAGTTCCTTTACGGGTTCTTGACAAGAAAGCTCCATTCACCCTTTTATATCCTAATAAAGAGTTGTTCACCATCCCCCTTAAAATCTTTGGATGTACTTGCTTTATTCAGACCCTTGGTCCTCATCGTTCCAAATTTGATCATAAAGCTTCAAAATGCATTTTCCTTGGTTATGCACAAACTCAAAAGGGATGTTGCTGCTATGAACCTACTTCTAGGAGGAGGTTTGTCTCTATGGATGTCACTTTCTTTGAGGATGTACCCTATTATCCTAGGGTTTCTTCTTAGGGGGAGAGTAGTGAGATGGGGGTTCATTTATTAGAAGTTCCATTACCTGTCCCAATCATTGAAGAGGAGTGTAGTGAGGAGGGTTGTCAGAATTGTCGGGATTTGAGAGTTTATCATAGACGGTGAAGGCAGGTTGATTTCGGTCATCATCAGTCCAGGCCAGTCCCAATTCCTTCTACGGATCCAAATCCAGGTACCACAGTTCCTTCATCTTCCATTATAGATGAGATACCTTCCATTGTTGAGCCTTCACCCCTCTTTGTTGAGCCTTCACCTCCATTGGATGACCTTGACCTTTCCATTGCAATCCATAAAGGCAAACGCCATTGTACCTCATCTACAGTTCACTGTATTTTTCAGTTCCTGTATATGATCATTTGTCTCCATCTTACAAGCCTTTTTTGGCATCCATTGCTGCTATTCCCATTCATAGAATAGTGTAGGAAGCCTTGTTAGTACTTGAGTGGAAGGATGCAATGAAGGTAGAAATGGATGCCCTTCTAAAGAACAATGCATGGGAGCTAGTTAATCAACCTAAAGGGAAGAAACCAGTTGGATGTAGATGGGTGTTTACTGCGAAGCATAATGTTGATGGTTCCATTGAAAGGTATAAGGCCAGATTAGTTGCAAAGGAGTTTACTCAGACATAAGGCATAGACTATTTGGAGACTTTTGCACCAGTAGCAAAGATGAATACTATCAGAGTTTTGTTATCTCTTGCAGCCAGTTACTCATGGCCTTTGTTTCAAATGGATGTTAAAAATGCCTTCCTCAATGGAGACTTGCAAGAAGAAGTTTACATGCAGTTGCCTCCTAGATTTTATAGTGCAAAAGCAGGAAAGAAGGTTTGTCGGCTGAATAAGGCCTTATATGGACTGAAACAATCTCCCAGAGCCTGGTTTGATAGATTTAGACAAGCTCTTGAAAAATTTGGCTATGTGTAGGCTCAGTCAAATCACACTCTGGTTATTAAGAAGTGGATTCTCCCTTAACACTGCTTACTGTATATGTGGATGATATTGTAGTGACAGGGAGCGATACCCGTGAGATTGAGTCTCTTAAGCAACTCCTTCATCAAGAGTTTGATGTCAAAGACCTGGGAGAGCTACGATATTTCTTGGGTATTGAGGTAGCTCGGTCTAAACATGGGATTTTTGTTTCTCAAAGAAAGTATGTTCTTGATTTGTTGGAAGAAATAGGGAAGCTGGGTGTTAAACCTGCTGACACACCTATTGAACAAAATCACAAGATCAGTGCAGAAGGTGGAGAGCCCCTTGAAGATAAAGCTATATTCCAACGGTTAGTTGGGAAGCTTCTCTATCTTTGTCTTACACGACCAAACATCAATTATGTTGTCAGTGTTGTTAGTCAGTATATGCACACTCCTAGAACTACTCACCTATTTGCAGTTGAGAGGATATTGGCATATTTGAAGAGGTGTCCGGGCAGAGGTATACTATTCAAGGATAATTTCACATGAAAATAGAAGTTTACATAGGTGCTGATTGTGCTGGATGTGTTAATGATAGGAAGTCTACCTCTGGATATTGTGCTTTTGTAGGAGGTAATCTTGTTTCTTGGAGTAAGAAACAAAATGTTGTTACTCGTTCCAGTGCTAAAGCTGAATATAGGTTCATGGCAAATGGTGTGGCTGAAGTACTATGGTTGAAATCCCTATTTGAGGTGTTGGGTATTACTTATGAGAAGCCCCTAATGTTGTACTGTGATAATCAGGCTGCCATTAATATAGCCCATAATTCGGTACAACATGACAGAACTAAGCATATTGAAGTGGACCAACACTTAATCAGAGAAAGAGTTGCCTTTCAAGAAGTGTCTTCCATATATCACCTCCAACATGCAACTTGTAGATCTTCTCACCAAGGCAGTTTCAAAGACAAAGTTAGAAGCAGATATATGCAAGTTGGGAATGGCAAACATTTATTCCCAACTTGAGGGGGAGTGTAGAGGACATTAATGTGGTCCCCACTATGTTTGTTTATTTATGATGGTAGTTAGTAGTTATTTCAGTCATGGTTTTTAAAACCGACCCGGAGACGGAACCGACTAGGGGTCCGATTACCGGGTCGAACAATCGACTGTTCGAACCGAACGGTCGGCCCATTCTAACAAAAAAATTTAAAAAATAAAAAATGTTCGAACGGTTCAAATGGTTAATTGCCCGGTTCAGTGGTCTGCTGACCAAAATCAACGGTTTTTGGAGAAAATCCGGTTTTGTGGGGAAAACGGAACTGGTCACTTGACCGGTTCCCGATTTTTCCGGTCCGACTGTCCGGTCCAGTCCGGTTTTGAAAACCATGATTTCAGTTGGTAGTTATTATTGCTTTTATTATTTCTTTTGCCATGTAAGCAATAGGGGTAGTTCAGCCCTTTTACTCTTTATTTGATTATTAATATAAATAGTTGAGAGGGGCGACAATCCTAGTCGACACACTCTTTCTGAATTCTTCTCTTTGTGTTCTCCTTCTCTTCTTATCCTATTCTTCTTCTCTCCTTCTCAATCTGTTTTCTTTGTTTATTACACATTATACCTAGGAATGATTGCAGTCCTATTCGACTACTGAAAGTTTACCATAATAAACATAAAAATAGAAAATAACTGCTATAGTGAATCAACATTACAAATAGAAATGATGCAATTAAAAGGGTCTGGATGCTTCCAGAAAACATTTTGAAAACAAGAAATAGATATAAACAAAATCAACACAAAGGTAATGCATACCCATAAAACCCTTCAGTTGAATCATCTCCAGCATGTGCAAGAATTGCATCTCCACCAGGATGCTCTTCAACGTATGAAGTAACATCATACACCTACAGTAACCAGTTACATGGTGTCAGGCATAACAAGTTTATATTTCAACAGGAGTGTTGACCTCAGGAATAAGATATAACCTTATTCTTTACAATGATCCAACAATCAGTCTTCTTGTTATGTAATGATACTTCAGCCCTTGTATAAAGTTTGGATGCCTGGTGCAAAGGCACATGAAAAGAAATGAAACATTTAAGCAAGGAACCAATCACTGCTTCCACAAATAGCACAAGTAACTTATTGGAAAGATGAAGCATAAGTCTCAGAAGAAATTACTGGAGTTTTCTACACATGTTTTGAAGTATGAGAATATCTAAAACTACAAAAATCTAGAAATAGGTCGAATGTAACACAACCAAGAAATTTGGTACAACGCATGCTGCCTCCAGAAGGTTGTTTTTCGATGATCAGATTTCAAATTCACACCAACTGCAAACAGCATGTGCACATTTTGGAGCTTACGTAGTCACAGATAATAGATCTGCTAACTCACCAAAAGACCCTTTATTTTGCAGGGGAATAGTAGTTGTTATGAAGTCATTAATTTATTATGAGAAGAATGATCAAGGTTGAGAGATGTAAGATATTTTTTTGGTGGCGTAGACATGCTAATTTGCTTAAAGAAAATATGTTATATGGTTCTTGTCTTTTTTCCACCCTTTTTTGCATATTAGCATTTTATCAATGATGCTAATGAATCTTTACCATTTGACAAAGAAATTTCATTTGAGATGTGCGAATGAAAATTTGTGTTGTTGCAGTTCTTCTTTTTTTATTTTTTTCCTTTCAGGAAATTTGTTATCAATGTGAAGGAGCTTTTTAGAGCGCAAAGCTCGGACAAGTTGACATACTTATTCATGGGGTATCCTAATTCTTTTTCTTTAGATTAAATTAACAAATATAAACCCTAAAGCTGAATTTGTATGGGTAAACTCTTATAAAATGAAAATGCCTTAGATGGACTAAGGCAGCTATTGATAAAGTTTCTCCAGAAAAAAATCCCTGTCTGACATGATTATTAAGAATTAAAGGGCCAACTTTAGTATATTTAATATCATAATTATGTTAAATATGAAAAAAAAAACCTAAACATACTAACACTAGCCCATATGTCTCTCCACTCACAAGCCACAAGATGGAGCTCAAAGTCAGGTCATTGACAGTTTTAACAACATTCAAATTCCAATTTTCTATCCTAATTTTAGATGGTAAGAGGAAACAAATAAAAGAACCTATATGTCTAATAACTCTGTTGCCACTTCCAGTTACTTAGCATATGCATTCAAGACAGTAAGCACAATTTGAAACTCAAGTAATGGCTTGCTGATAAAAGTTAAAATTCACAGCTAATGTGTAATGTAATGTGGAACATTGCTAGAAAGGGTAACATAGAAACTACTGAAACAAAGAAGGAACATACCTGGCTTATTTATATTCAAAAGAAAAGTGAAAATGTATGCAAATAGAAAGGAATATAACCGTAACAAAACCTGAAAGAGATTGATTTTAAGTATGCTTTGGTATGCAAATCACCTTTCAATAAAGAACCAACTCATATCTATTATCTAATATTTCATTTTTCCACAAGGAGAGTGCTAGGTTCCTACGTTGTTGCAAGGCAAATTTCAAACAGCTTATTTTGCATTTTCTCAGTTTTATAATTAGTTGAAAAAGTAATAATTTTCTGTTTTGCACACTCTCCACACAGAAATTAGGTATTGACACTTGTTTCTTCACACTGTCCATTGAGGGAAGACATGGAAATTTATTAGTTTGCACTCCTAGAAATTTCATCTCTAACCAATTTTGTCTTTATATTTTGAGAAGGATGTATTACAAGCAACAAAGTCAGCCTAGACATGCCAAGTCCAAGTGCATATACTTGTAGGTTCTATATGCAGTATTATCCCCTCTCTTCAGATCAATTCATTACTCTTAACAAATAACGATTGCAAAAAATACACTTTCAGTTAAATTACACCCAGGATCAACTTTTTCTGTTCTGACTGAACTCTACCAGGGATAAATATGATTACTATCTTTTTGATCCTTTTTCTTTGCATATGAAAGTTGTCCTAAGCCAACTAAGGATGGTAAACCTGTCAGAATGTTGCATGGAATGAAAGAGTCCTACTTGAAACAGTGACAAAACTTATATTACAATAGTAGAAACTCTAAGGTTCTAGCTGACATGCTAGCAGCAAAGTCTTTTTCTGACAAAAAGGAATGTCTGTACAAAGATAGATCCCCAGAGTAGATGAGTAAATACTTTTTGGGTTATCTGACACCGAGGACAATATTTGTAAGTTCCACCATAGTAATGAAAGTTTGACCAAAACTAAGCGGTCCCAAATGGAGAATATTCCATTCAGATGCCTGTCATTGAAAAATTAATGTGGTAGAGAAACTGCTAAGAATTTTCTACCATAAAATACTAAAACTTCTCCGGCATTTGTTTCAGTGGTAGACCTTCTTCTCTGTAAGGAGATGGCCTGAAGACATGATTATGGGAATCTATATCCAGCATAAAATTTTTGAAATGAGATATGGAGTTCATATAAGGATACCTGTTAGAATACAACACCATTTTCATGCATACAAGGAACTGAAGACTTGATCACTTGATTAGGAGAAATTAAACCCAACATGATTTTTTTCCTAACAAAGGCATCATTTTGCAGTTTTATACCAGCTGAAATTTTCATTTTGTCAATTATACCAATCTGGAAGCTTGTGTTCCGTTCTGAAGACAGCTAGATAAAAAACTTTTACATATGCATGCCTTGGAGAATGCTAGTATTGATCTCACCAGGTGAAGATGGATGAATATAAAGTTGACCTTGAGAAACCATTTTTCTTAGTTTCTCATATTGTCGTGTTTCTTGGTGAGTATACGAAACTATTGCCCTGTAGTTCAAAATATTGGCCGATAGACACAAATGCTTTTTCTATGTTATGGATTTAATCCTTATTTATTGACATATAAAGATAAAAGAAAGAAAGAGAAATACCCAATTAAATTGTTTTCCCAAGCATGAAAACTAGGAATAGAACCAAGAAATCTCTCAAATTGGACTTTGACGAGGGACTTAAAACAGATAAAACATTTTGCTAAAGCTATTTGAAGAAGCATATCAAGACAGAATATGTTTATCATCAAGATAACGTCACATAAAGCAAAAGCTTGTGTACCTTATTGTTAAGAACTGCCTTAGCAACTTTAGCATTACCTGCGTGGAACAGATTAACAAAGTCAGGAACACGAAAACGACAAGTACTTCATGAATGTGAGGAGTGTGTCTGTGTTTGGTTTCTACTCAAAAGAAAAAGAAACATTACCGGGCTTACGCACTCGTGGAGTCAAAAGAAATACTCCCAATAAGACGCCCAAAACCAATGTCAATACAACTATCACCATATCTCAGTTTCTGATCCCTGTGCTGATCGAACAAAAACAAAGATGTATGATAATGTCACAACGGTGAGGAAGTACAGAGAAATATAGGCACTAATAGTACGACTAAGTAACTTTAAGCATTTCAGCGAAACTTATCCAACCGACTCCAATGTATTACACTAAATTTAAATCACGGAAGGGGGGGGGGGGTCCTAAATAACCAGAAATGTCTCAGGAAATAATACTTTAAAAACTGATGGAAAACTAAGGGTCTCTAATTTCATGGGTGAAATTGGGCATGAACAACGATTTCTGAATCTAAATGTGCCAAGTATTCTGCGTAAAGTCAATCGAAATGCAAGAAAAGGAATACGCAGAAGTGGGGCAGATGCTTAACCGCGAGATCAACAGTCAAGTAAGGCTACTTTTCCGGTGATGACGCCGAAGAGAGAGTTCGGTCGGAGATAACAGAGAGGTGAAGATTTGAAGCGAAGTGACTGGAATTCTGGAAACCGTGGGCAAGCAGCTCGAAATTAGAGAACGGGTGGGGAATCTATGTCGACAACTAGAACTCTGCAAGGATTGCGGATTGCAGTTGCAGCCGGGCAGGCACGTGCAATTTTGGCAAATTTACTTATTTACCCTCTTTAAGCTCCTAAAAAGACTTTAGTGGCTGGGCTGGGGCTGGCTACTGGACCTGGACCTGGAAGTGTGGAGTCTGGACTCTGGATGCCGGAGAACTCACCGAGTATTGAGCGTAGGACCAGATGATGTGGAATGTGGATGAAAAACGGTTAGGGTTTTTGTAGGAAAGGGTCAACCCGAAGTTGGAACCAAACCCGAATAATTTTACAAATGAGAGTGGATCTGCTGAACTTATCAGCCGCTTGCAGAGTCCGAGAGAGAGAGAGAGATCCTGGGTGTGTGGGACAGTGAGTCAGTGAGAGTGCTTGGGTCTCGTACGTAGTTGTAACTTGTAACACGAAATAGTCATGGGCTCTCTTCTCTTGCCTGATTCCACCAAACTCAAACCGACCCCAATCATGGGATTAGGAGCCAGAGAGGCCCATCATCATAATTTTGAAAATTTCCCTCAATTTTTCTCAATCTCTTCCCTGCATCTTTAGCCTAGTTTTCTTCATACAAAACCTCAACACTAGCAACATTAATAATATGTCGGTGGATCTGATTCCCGAATCGCCTTCTTATTTTTGGTCTAAAGACTCTAAACCCTCCCAAACAAAACCAACCCGATCTATAAAAGGGCAAATAATGGGATAGAAAAAGGACTTAAGAGCAAAAATAAATAAATAAACCTTAAGGTTATGTTTGATTTGAAGGAAAAGATAGAAAATCCTATACAAGATTCATAAAGTAAATACAACCTGAGGTTATATTTGGTTTGAAGAAAAAAGATAGGGAAAAGAAGGAATATATAAGAAAACCTATACAAGATTTGTAAATATTTCCTATACAAAATTTGTAAGTGGTCACCGACTTTCAGAATTGAGGATAAAAAACTATAAAGATAGAAAAACAAACCAACTATGGGTTAAGAGACTAATGTACAAGAATGAAGGGAGCATAGACATATTGATATTGGAGCCATTATCTGAGGCTGAGGTGATTACACTTTAGTGACTACTTTCAAATTTACCCTTTCTTTTAATATGGTCATAATGTTTGTCCTTCTTTTTCTTTTTTCCTTTGTTGTTGTTTCCACTTTCCAGGGATGAAGATACTTATTAGGAATCCAGTCCAGACATAGGATAAGATCTTGCATCTTCCAACATTGCTACCTGCTTTGTAAGTAGTGGCGCACTAACTATTGATTAAAAAAAAAAAAAGAAAAAGAAAATTGAATACTTCATAAGGGAGTACTTGACAACATGATTATTTTTGTTTTTGAAAATAAGAATAAGAAAAACAACACATTTTTGCTGATATGGCATACTTCAAAAATAAAAACAAAAGCAATCATATTGTCTTTTTAACACCCGTGAAGCGAAATTACACTGTTTTTATTGTTTTCATGGCTAACAACATTAAGCTTTTAACTATAAAAAAGGGAGATAAGTCCTTAAAATAAGGAATGCCAAATGCAGCCTAACTTGAACTTGTATGTACATGCATTGCATAAATCATTAAAAAAATATATGTTGCAAAAATACACAATGTACATGTACATACGTACATGGTGAATTGTGACTATATTTCTAGGCCCAGGCCCAACCCTAGCCCAGAGCCTAAAGAATTCAAACCCAACCTCTGCAAAACCTAAGGTTGGTTGAGTCTCTAAGTTGGAGTCTCATAGGTAGTAATTAGTCTGCTTCAGCGGAGTTCTCCATGATGGCTGTCTTGTTGTGAGAATTTTATTAAGAAAACATGCACCAAGTAATTAATACATTTTCTTTCTATCCACAACCTAAAATTAGTGTATAGTACATGTATTTTCACTTTTCATGAGGTGTGGGTCTCACAGATTATGTCGGCAAAAGGTAAGCAAATTATGGGAGATTACAACTTGTTTCTAGATTTTGAAAAACCTTTGTTGTCCTGACTTTTGTACATTATTAGTGTGGTGATAAATTGATAGTTGGCATTTTTCGACATTTGAAATCATGGACAATAATGGCAAATAGAATTTTGCATTTTATGAAAGAAAATGATTACCAACGACTAATACTTGAAACAAATCAGGAAAAGACTATAATGGCAAACATGCACGAATTGCTAACACAGCCAACACATGTAATGCAGATCTAACAAATTAACTTGTTCTGTACAGTGAAAAAAATGAAAATGGGTTGGTCAGACGTTTTATCGGCATTAGGTGGTTCTTCGTTCGTTTATAAGTAAGAGAATCAGGGTTCTTTTATTTGGAAGGAGTAAACCATATAAAGTAAAAGTCCTTATTCGTATGCTTTTCTACTGCCATACCCTATTTTTCTCACCACTCAGACCTCCGTTACCTTCATAGCCTTCCCGTTCCGGACATCCTCTGTACCACCTCTTGCAGCCTACCGAGAGCTATACAAATTATTTGAATGATCAATCATAAAAATCTTCATCGTCAAAATTGTTTTCATTAATGGCATCATATCATGAAATAGTAGATTTCTGGTCTGATAATTTAGAATAAAGGAAACAAGTTGGTTGATTTGATTTATGCAGAAAAAAAATTCCATTAAGACAAATGGGGAAAATAACAAAAATTGGGATATTGGATTTCTAATCTCCCAAAATGTAGAATTATAAGAAAAATAAATAAGGTTTAGATTTGCACCAAAAACATGAGTGTGGCTTCACTACATTGCGGTGTATTTCTTTTTCGATACATAGTCCGGTTATGGGTCAACCTAAATTATTATTTCTTTTTATTCCTCTCTTAAGATCCGAAAGACAACAAGATCCGAGTGGGGCCTCCAACATATAATGCCCATACTTTGCCTTGGCTTAACGTGTTGACCACCACCATACACACACACTTTTTCTCTCTTTCTCTCTCCACAATATGTTTGTACGATTGCGACAAATTCAATCCGGATGGTTAATTAAAGCCTTCTTAATACGAATATGATAGCAGTGATAAAACTGAATAGGCTTCCCTAATAACATATGGTGGGGGTGTCCCACTCCCACTATTATCAATTTATGATGGATTTCCCTTAACTGAGAAAAGCTTTACATGCAAGACGAATGGGACAACACAAAGGTCCCACCCTCGTGCGCTCTAACTCAGCTCTCTCCCATTCCATCCATTGTTTATATTTATTAGCTGTTTTTAGTCAAATCTGTCGATATATATATATATATATATATATAAACATGCATTGAATATCAATAATTATAAAGTATATCGGCTTGTATCCGTGTTTTTTTTGTATTTTTTTGAATTTAGTTCAGAGGATCAGTTTAAGGCCTGGTTATCGTCTGAACCATGATCTGACCCGAAATACTTCCTGTAGGGATGTATCAGAATGATATGATACATATAATTGAGCCGATACACAATGATATTTTGAACATTGATTGAAGATTTTAAAACTGCCACTTTCAATACAAAAATATATTCTTACCCAAAAAAAAAAAAAAACCATAATGCATATATACACTGGACCAGCATATGCATTTTTCCCAAACAGAGCCTTAATAAGCAGTAAACAGCAACACTGAATAAAAGTGGGGAAGCCGGTCTAGAGCCACTAACAGTCCACAATACAAACCAAGTCTACTGACATCTCCCATGCCCCAACCATCCTCTTCCTTACATATAGTTGATTATAATTGACAATGGAGGACTCTATGAGCATAACACTAAACTCGATAAGGCCAGCGTTGTGCTCCCTCTTTCTGTCTTACTAACCTATGAAATAAAACAATGTTATACATGACAAGTGAGAAACCTTGGCCCATATCTTTATTGAACCCGGTAGAATCCTGTGTCATAATGGAGAATGCATGACAGTAAAAGGGGTTGTGTGATTACAAGTTCACTTCATATCATACAGAAAGAATAGATGTTTTAAAAACCAACCGAAGGCTGAACTGTTTTTGTCTCTAATTCATGGGTTATTAGTTCAACCATTTGGGTTGAATGAGTCATACCATGTACCATGCCACATCATCAATTTTATATATATATATGCATACATATATATGTACATATATATTTGTATATATTGATATTTATATAGGTATAAACAAGTATTATATCAATAAAATAATATATAATTATATTCTATATATGATATATGTATGTATGTATATATGTATTAATTTATAATTATTAAAATTTGGGATTTGAGGCTAGAAAGGATTTTTTTTTTGGCAAAAATAGTTAGTGGGACAAATAGCCTTTGAAACTTTGCACGCACATTGAATGTGCAACTCGTGACCTAGTGACTAGGTCGAACGGATGAATGACTGAAACGCTTGGGCCAATAATTTTTAACCAAAAACTAGATTTTAGGAAAATTAAACCCAAGATCTTGATAGGGTGATGTCGGGCCGTGCCAGGTATATATCTTCATGAGCTTGGACCGTGGGCCATACTGGACCGACCCCCCCAAATTATCTCTGAAAAAGACGACAAGGCCCGTTTTACACCTCTAGAAAGGAACAATGATCCACATGGTAGCATTTGCCAAAATGTGTATATTTTCATGATGCCCCCTTGGAATTTGGGGTCTAAGGCAGCTTGTAACGCAACTCACAGAATTGGGCAAGCACATTGCAATTGCATAGGCACAGGGTTGGTGAACAAAGGGAAATGGACTCTAGTTGAAGTCATTAGTCATTACTCGTCTGATTAGGTGCAGAGATGAAACCTAAAAGGATGCCATAAGACAAGGGTGAAAACAACCTCCTTTACTTTACCAATTTTTTTTTGCAATATTTAATTCATTAGGTCCAAGATAGGGGAATTCACATCTGCGCCCCATAGAGGGTGCCTAACAAAGGCACCACAGCTAGGACTGTCAATGGGTCGGGTTTAGGTCGGGATCAATTAGAATCGGAACCGATTCAATAGGAAATATTGAGGACCCGAAACTGAACTAATTGGTTCTTGCGATAATTGGGTCTGACTCGACAGATCTAATTATAATAAATAAATAAATAAATACATTTAGTATATATTAAATATTATATGTATATTATATATATATATAATTTATTTAATATATATAATATATTATGTATTATATGAATATAGCTCAGGTCAGGTTTGAATCGGTTAGGGGGTTGGATGGAACCAGTTCCAAACTGATAATAATCAGGACACTATATCAAGACCTAAAACTGACCCGTCAGCTCCAATTCTTGGAACCAAGTTGGCCCAATCGGTTCGGGTATGTCAAGTTGGATCCGACCCATTGACAGCCCTACCCACAACACATCCCAACTGTGTATTGAGACTTGAGAGCATCTCTCAATGATAAATACAAGAGATGTTTCCAATGCACACTGAGATGTGCATGTGGGGTGTTTGTAGGGCACAAATGTGAATTTGGGATAGGGGTGTATAAGAGTGCAAGTCAGGTGGGTTGAATCGGGTCAACCCGGGTCCAACCATAAAATTTGGGCTTAAAGCCTAAGCCTGAACTGAGCTTGAGGTCAAGCCCAATCCTCCCAACCCGAGCCCAACTTTATAATTTGTAAATATGTAATTTGATGCACTCGGGTTGGTTAGTGAACCCACTTTAAAATTACACACACATATATGTATATATGTATGTATTTATGCAGATATATATTTATGTATATTTGCAAATATGTATGCAAAATTTTCATATTTATATATATATATATATATATATATATATATATATATGTATGTATGTATGTACAAATGTGTATAGTTGAGTTAGGTCCAAGCTACCTAAGAATTAAGCCTGAGCCTGACCCAAAAATAAAAAAGCCTGATTTTTGAACTCAAACCCAGTCCATATAAGATTTTGGGCTGGATTGGTTCGGACTTGGGCTGGGTCCGCCCAAATTGCACCCCTAGGAGTGTAATAAAACTGAGATGAGTCAAATTTTGATATGTATCGACTTAATTTGACTAAATATCCTATTAGTTCGTGTTTAACTCGAACGTTTAAAAGTCAATATATTTTTATATTTTATAAATGTATATGATATATGATATATTATTATTATTATTATTATTATTATATTATAATTATGGAACCATGAGATCGTTAACCGCACTTTGTATTGATCAAACTCGAATTTGAATAATTAATTCGAAAGATTCACACTTGTTTCAAACTCAAATTGTAAGACACAAACTATTTGATTAAAACTCGATACAAATACACCCCTAGTGTAGGATGCTAGTTCGATTTGATTTGATCAAATATCCACCCTTTTGTCTAATAGCTAATGTCTAGTAAAGTGCATTGTCCACATTGATTTTTGATTAGCCTTTGTGGCTTATGTTTAAATTGATTAGCCTCCGCTCCCACTGAGGGACATCTCATCTCAGGCAGAGATGACTTAAAAGATGAATTGGGATCTGCTACTCACTGAGCGCGCGCTTTATACCCACCTTTCACCTTGTAAAAACATCTTCCATGATAAATACTGAATATATTTTTAATATGCGGCCATAAAATGCTGTGAGGTCGGTGTAAGGTACCATTTGTGAAAAATTTTAAATGAACTACGTCCTGAGACCGAATCTACTCTTTACACATAACGCCTTACAGGCACATCCCACCGTACATCGGGAACATCTCTCTCATACTTGTATATTCTAGAGACAATTCCAATGCACGATGGGATGTGCTTGTGATTTGTGAGGCGCTCACAGATCCCAATTCCCAAGTCCTCTCCTCTTGCTCTCACGTGGAGCCGGCAGGGCGCCAAAAAGTTTTGGTTTCTTCTTAAAACTGAATGATTGCAGTTGCAGCGTAACTTAACTTTTGCATTAATTTTGATTCCACGGACACTGCACATAAGAGCTGAGCAGAGCAGCCTGAGCTGCATTGCCTCTCAGTGTCAGTAATGCAAGTATAGTATAGACTATAGAATGATTTGATATTAATTGTTTTTCATCCATATACACACGTATTATCATGGGAACAAAACAGAACAGTTACGAAAGGTTCGAATCCTACTACCAAGACATAGACACGTCAACATTCTCCTTTTATCGAGGATCTTCAATTCATTCTTTCTTTTTCACTACTTTCTTTTTTTGGTGGTGGCCGGTGGGACAGTGGGAGTGGACCCGCCACCTTTACGTTATGCCCCTACTCCTATCACATTTCTATATTACTGTATATTTGGCTGTCGTCCCAACCACAACCGATATTCGGCTTCTGGTTGCCAAAACCGTGAATTATTTTTCACCAAAAAAAAATCTCTTCTTTTGCACTCTGTTCTGTTGGCTCTGACAGCTTTCCACCATTACTCCCCCCATCCTAGTCAGACTTGTCTACAGTTCTACTTGTATACACCACGAGTGTCGAGTGGGGCACTGTTTCTATTTCAAGCAGATGGCTTTAGGAGAGAATCCGGATTTTTCCTTACAGGCACAGCACATCCCATCGTACATTGGTTAAATAAATATCTTCCGGTATCATACAAATATACAATTGGTCTGTCATCAGTTTTTTAGTCGGTGCCACGTTAGTTAGACTACCTAACCACGAGTGAACAAGCCGTACATATAGGTCCATATCCATGCATTCAAAATGGGCCCATATATACAAATTACGAAGCACTGACGTGTTCATTTATAACTGGCTATATAGCCGTTCACACACTTGGCCGCAGGCCGCAGCCCGCAGATCCCTATATTCGCAGAGACCGGATCTGCTCCTTACATCTGGCGCTTCACACGCACATCGTACCATGCATTGCGAATATCTCCCGTAGTTATTAATTATTATCCACGTGAAATGTTCCGAGCAGATCCCGTCATGTGTTCGCATCGAAAACAATCCGAACAATCTTCCCTGATTTCTGTTGTTTTGTTTTCCTATGAATGGTGAGAGCAAAAAAAAAAAAAAGAAAAAGGGAAAATTGTCTATTAGTATCATGTATTTTGGGATAGTATCACTTTAGTTCTTAAATTTTAAAATGTGATAATTCAGTATGGGAATTTTCAAAATGTATATGTCATTAATCAATCTTTTAATCAGCTATTAAGTGATATTTGAAAATATACAAATACCCATTGAGTGTTATCTAATTTTTTTATTAACCATTTACATGTTGATAAAAAATAAAGTCTCAAATCCTTGCCTCGTCTATTCAATAAAATTGGCAGTAGGCATTTTGATGATTCCAACTTTTTTGAACATAAGAGGTAAGGATTTGGGAATGTTTATTCTTTGTCAATATTTGAATGGTTGATAAAGAGAATTAGAAGACACTTGAAGGGCATTTATCTTTTTAAATGACATTTAACGACTGGTTCACAGGCTGATTAATGGCAGGTACTAGATTTGCACATTTTAAAAATTTGGATATTAAATTATTCCCTTTTAAAATTTAGGGACCAAACTAACAATAGACCCAAATACAGGATAGTAATATGAAATTTCCCCCAAAAAAAATGCACTGCATCCACAGTGCACAAAGCGCTGTATCTTAAATTTCAGAGTTGACTAGCCCGTACTCTTTAGTATTGTTATTCTTTTTTCTTTTTTTCCCTTTTCATCTCGTCTCCGTTAAAGAATCTAAAAATAAAATTAAGAACTCGTCGCCTAGGAAAGAAAATAAAGCAAAAACTCGTCGCTTTCCGATTTATGGTCTTTTACTGGCTTACTGCTCTCTCACGAACACGAACTAACCACCCAGCTATTACGTTGTTTATTATTGAATTGTAGGTGTAGATGAAAAGAAAGAAGAAATGCAGAGTTTACAGTGGTCTCATCTCATGTCTTGCTCTTGTCCTTGAATGCCTCCTCTTTAGTAGTAGTACTAATTTGTACATACTAATCTCTTCTTCTTCTTCTTCTCAACCCCGCTAAATTTAGCACGACCTTCTTCAGACTTCAATTCTTTATTCAATCATTCACTATTTTTTATCTAAAATTTCTTGCTTGTATTTGTTTCTCCTTCCTTAACTCTGAATCCGTCCTCTGTAATTCACTTCTCATTCTTGAGCTTACAACTCTGTTTTTATCCTTCTGAAGTTTCTTCTCCAAATTCGTGTGTTGTTGGGTTCTTAATTTGATTTTACTAAAAGCTGCCAACTTTGAGTAGTTATATTCATTGCTGCATAGTTTCTGCTTGCCACGATTTACATTATTTTTGTCTGAGACTTGTATCCTGGTTCTGTTTTTTTTTTTTTTGTTTGAAGTTCTAGTTTTTACTGAAGCAGCTTCTATGAAGCTTGTGAAGATCTCTTTCTCGATTCTGGTCTTACTTCTGAACCTACACTGCTCGTTTTCGTACCCTGCTCCATTGAATTGCTCAGACACCACCCGCCTCTGCACCTCATTTCTCGCATTCAAGCCAAATCGGATCCCAACTCAGCCCCTGATACAGAGCATGTTCGATGTCTTGCCGGAAGATGTGACGGTCGAGGGGGACAATCGCGATTATCTATTCATCAGGAAGAACTGTTCCTGTGCTGCTTCTGCTAAGAAGTACATGACCAATACAACTTTCACGGTGAGGGAGGATGACGGATCTGTCTACGACATGGTCATAGAGGCATACGGAGGACTTGCATTTTTGCCCAACTCCACGCGGAGCGCGCGCGTTGGCCTTGTGGTCTCCTTGCACCTGTTATGTGGGTGCTCAAGCGGGTTGTGGAATTACTTGATGAGCTATGTAATGCAAGACGGGGACACGATTGAGTCCTTGGCCAGCAGATTTGGAGTGAGCATGGACAGTATAGAGGCGATCAATCGAATTTCCAATCCTGATAATGTTTCTGTTGGGACCGTTTATTACATTCCACTGAATTCGGGTAAGTTTTTCTCCTGCATTTGTTTCTTTCCTTCTTGAACGCCTGTTTATGTAGTTACCCTCCATGTGCAAGTGGAAGCAATTACAATGCTAAGGTGCAGCATTGTCAATGGAGTTTCCTGTAGTGCAATTGTTTGAAGAACAACACTCGTAGCCCTTTCTCTTTTGGAAAACTCTGCTCAACCTAAAAAACCTGCAAATCCTGAACCCATTTAATGGATCATAAAGTAGTTGAGCTGTTTTGCCTTAGTCCCAAATCAACTGTGGAAAATTATGACCCATATAGGTTAAGGTTAAACTAAAATTCGGACCAGATAGAATTTTCCTAGACAGTGCAGAAGCACATAATTGGAAGTACGTTTCATGAAATTATATCAAGCAAAGCTTGGGCAAACCAAGCACTATGTGGCATCTGGGATGGAAAGCTCGCCTAGAATAGAGGAGCTTGCATAGCACATGCCATTTCTTCTTTTCATTCGGTAGGCATGTAAATGAATGCATTAATAAATGTTCATAAATACCTCATATAAAATGGTTGTTACAGAGTCTACTTCTCTGTGCAGAAGAATATATGGAATTTATGTTGGATCACTAGTAGTACCTACCATGTTACTGGCCCAAATTCTACATATAGTTATCTTGGAAATGCATCCTTCTGAATGATATTTTTTCTGTGCTATGATTGAACAAAATATAAGTAGGCATTCTATTCACTGGGTCAATTAATCTCCAGAGCTGGTCTAGAAAGCTGCATATTCTACTTTTATGGACTTGGGTTGCAATTTCTTCACTGATGTACTTTACTTGCATACTTATTGAAACATTCAAAATGTTCAACAAAAGCATATGCATTCCCTCATCAGACCCTGCTTCTCCCCACTCCAAAATATTCCTTCTGGTACTTGAATGCCAAAGTGTGAAGATATCCGGTAACAATTCTCTTTTGATGACTTATTAGCAGCATATGCATGGATGTCTCTTTGGAGATATCCAATACCATATAACTGACCAAAGTCATATAGGTAGTGAGCTTTTGAATTTTCATTTGATAGATGGGTTTTTGGTCGGGTTGAATGGCTAAGATTCATCTTATAATGGTTTATGACAGAAGGATTTTAATCTACAATAACAAAATTATACCTCTTGGCCAGAGAAACATGGCCAAAGTATTTTTAACCAGAGACAAAAATGGACTAATAGGTGTTTAAACTTAGTTTAGAGTGGGAGTGACATGAAACAGCAGGCTGATTGAAGATGCCCTATGATGGACAATCAAATGAATTGTTTCATTCAAATATACTCTAGGAACCTGAATTGTTTTTATGTTGAAAGCACAGTATGGAACAGGTCAAAGTTGACAAAGTCTTTTAGCTTAGTAAGCTCCTTATAGTTTTTCATTTCCATTTTTCTGGAGTACAGAGGCTTTTTGCTTCCAAATTTTAAATTTTGGACTGAATTTTTTTGTGTGTTTTATGTAAAACATCTTTTTTTACAGCTAAATTGAAATGCTGGTGTGCTAATATATTTTTAGCATGAAGTATTTCCCATTTCTTTTTTCTTTCAATACAATTTTTCTTACATATCTGGAAAAAAGTATGGACTAGGTTTCTATATAAGTGCCAATGTGCCATAGCCTGCCTGCAATTGTAGCAAAAGCTCTAGTATCAAGACAGAAATGATCCAGCAGGATCCACTTATGCTGTTCTTCCTGCCACAACAAGGTAGCATTATGTCGCTGCACTACTTTATGCAGCTTTTCCTCATTGTATTTCTCCATCTTGAAGACATGGGTATTTAGTCTATCTGTTGACTTTTTTGACAAATTGAACTGAAACAGCCCAAGGAAGAGTCACAATTTTTTTTTCCTTTTGATTGGTAATCATACAGTTCTATTTTCCTATAGAGAGTTTTATATGTTCATATGCACTGAACATCCCATAATGCATGGTAGGGGGATGCTAAATATCCTCCAATGGTGGTATCATCCCAATATGAAAAATGAAGATAAAAACCTAAAATACCAGACTACCAGAGAATGTAACACCACTTACTTTTCATTGCATATTTTGGAAATTTGATCTTACAAACATTTTCTTGTTATTATTATTTGACTGGCTAATTAGAAAAATAGGTTCTATGCCAACATAGTCTCCCTTCAGTTTCTTAAATATTCCTTATTCACAAATATGTACCTTATCTCACCATGATGTTATTATTTTGGTAGTTCCTGGTGAGCCTTATCCTCTGGAGGACATTTCTCCCACTCCTGGACCTGGACCTGCACCTTCTGTTTACACTTTTTCAGGTGCTATGCTTTATTTTATGGTTCATCAGTTTTATACAAATCTTGAAAATTATGAATCAGTTACAGCTTTTATTTTGAATCTATTAAATGATGTAAATCTGTTCATATTAGTATATCAATTATGTTATGCAGCCAGTTTTTCTGATCTTTGTAACTGAATTCTGAGAATTAAAAAAAAACTTTACAGTTAAATAGGAAAAACTCAATAGAAGTTTGCGGAGAGGCTAATAGGCATACTTCGAAAAAGAAATGTGCTTTCCAGTCCCAGATTAAACTACTGGAGCTCCATTATATTTCTAAATTGTGAAAGAAAATGTTTCATTGTTGAGCTAATGAAGAAGAGCAAAAAGCAATAACTAAAGAGATGTATCTGGGAGACCCCTTGAGTTGGATAGCAAGGCAAATTTGACCCCATCATTTTATTTTCTATGAAATTTCCACTGTAATTTTTGCATCATGAAGCAAAGAAGCACTTATTTTCTTTCCCTCTTTCTTTGTGTGTGTGTGTGGTGGGGAGGGGGGTTAATAAAAACCATGACCAGATACATTAAAAAGACTCCAATTACGAAAGGATGTGCGGCTTCTCATATCATCTTCTGGTTTTATGAAAAGTAGGTGAAGATGTTGGACATGGCATGGGCAAGATGTTTGCCATGGAGTTTACTCCAAAGTTTCAAATGCCCATGTTAACATGGTACCCATTTCAAACTATTTGTGAAACATAATGTTCAATATCTATATTTAAAAAGGAAGCATGAATATCAAAGGCTGGATTGGGTTCTATCTAGATATAGATGCTATCCACTAAATAAAACTATGAAAGCTTGTTGGATATCCATAAATGCTTGGTGGACTGAAGACCTAAACCTTCAGAAGGTTCCATTTATGGTCATTGAACTTCCATTTTCCCTATTGTTCTTCTTTTATGTGTAGGGGCCTTCTCCATTTTTTTTTAATAAAATCTATCTAGTTATCAAAAAATTCCAAAACATTTCAAGTGTGATTCTAATGTGGTTCCAGGAGGAAAAAGATATTTCTTCTTGTTTACTTTTTTACTTTTGTTTTACTTTATATTGCCTCATATTTCTATTAGCATGAGTAACTTCTATACTACCTGTTCTGCAGCAAATAAGGTGAATCATAAGGCTCATTTTCCATATTGGTGGATTATAGGGAGCTTAGCCGTCGGCCTTCTGCTAATATTTGTGTCCATATGTATCTGTCTTTCATTCAAGTCATCGATCTGCTCTGCCCAAGGCCCAGGAAATCATGAAAAAGATCCTGATGGAAAGATCCCTCATAAATTCCACATTCTTCAAACAAGTTTCTGTTGTGCTTCAGGGAGGTCCATCTGCTTCAATCCAGGGAACTATAGGTCAACCAACTGTGAAGTTAGCAATTACCAAATAAATATTCCTAAAGGTCTTAAATCCTGTACCAGAATGGATAGCTTTAAAATTGATGATTATTACCTTTCCTGTTGTTTTTTTTTTCTTTTTTTGGTAATGAACTTTCATCAAATCATAGACATATACATGTCCTTTTTAAATCTAAAGGTTCCAAACTTGTCTATATTTCATTCTTTCATTGTTATTATCTCCTTGATTCTGAATCCTGTAAATTGAATAATTTTTCTGAAGCTTATATGTCAGTATGAAGGAATACTATCTGAATGTCCGTATGTTGGCTCTATAAACAGTCAGCTCTACTTTAGCAGCTTATAATGAATATTAGCTGAAAAGGCATCAAATTTTTGGTATTGGTGATTTGGGTTTTCTATGTGAATGACTCTGGTCTTTCACAGAAAGGAATTCAGGACATCTAGTTCTCACAATTCTTTCTTGCTAGTTACCTGTCAAAATAATTATAACAAGAAGAATAGTATTGTTAATTGTAATGATTCATTCTTGCCAGTTGGCTACAGGTAATTTTGATGAATAAAGGTAGAAACAAATTGCATAAGTTGGTAAAAAATTGTTATAATCCAGTGGTAATATTTATACTCAATGCCATTCTGCAGTAAAACTATCTCAAACATATGCATATATAATGACCTAACTATGAAACAGAGACATGGATATATGCCTAGGTGCATCAAAAATACATGGCGTTAATGAGATCTACATTACCATAATAACCTAGTTACTTATGATTAAAGACAGCAATATAAAAAAAGAAAGTTCTTTTTTTTTTATGTTTTTTGTCATACCAGTGTCAGCATGTGAGATGCATTTTCTTTTGTTACATTGGTTAGAGGCTTCCGTTGTTGTAAAGAACTTGTAACTGACAAAAAAGAGATGAGAAAGTCCCCTTCAGTAATGGTGCATTTTCAGGCAAAGTTTGGGTGCATGTTTAAGGTCAACTATGCAAAACTTATTCACTCAAATAGATCATACAGGAGCATTAATAAATAATCTCATCTCTTTATGTGCTATTAGTTTTGAACCAACAGGTTTTTTCTTCCTCCACAACCCTTCTCTTTTTCTTTTCTGAATTTATTGAGGATCAAATTATGGAATAATTAGCTCAAAGTTGTGTATATGCATATAATTATATAGATAAAATTGAAATTTTACTGCCGTCATTAAGAAAATTTGGGATTTGTGATCTGTTTTCACTGGGTGGGTTGATTATTTGTTAGTATCTTTGCCTTGTATAAAGGCTTGAACATAATCCTAGACCCTAGTAGCAAATAACAAAAATAAAAAAAGGCTGGAAAAGAAGAGAGAAGAGAAAAGAAGTAGAGGAGTAGAGGGAGGAGAAAGAGATGAAAGAAAGGGAAGAGAAGCCAATAGAGAGATGGCTGCCTCTCCCATTAACTTTTATACTTAAGAAATAAAGTGTGTCCAAAGTCAAATATACCCTTAATAGGGTGGCTACTCTCAATACTCTAAAATGACCTAGAACAGCAACTTAAAAAGGCACTAAACTAATGGGCCTTGGGCCCAATAACATCAACTAATTAAGAAGAAATTAAATACAGCAAACTCTCAACAGGTTTGGGGCCTTTGGGCATCTGAATTTTTGTTTTTTTTTTCTAATCTCCTTCAGATTGTTCTAAATTTCTAATAAAGTCTTCTTGTTATTGCTACGAAAAGAAAAAGATACACCATGGTCAATCCAAATGTCTATGCCCATTAATTTTGTTCAAGAGAATTTGTTCAATTAAAAGTTTAAAACTGCAGATTCTTTTCACATCATCTGTATCAAAAGGGAAAAAACCATTCACTTTAGGTTGCCCAAAATTAAGTAAAATATCTGGATGTATCTTTCATTCACTTTATCCATGTGAGACACTTCAGGATCCGATACATGATAATGAAGAAAACATTTTCCGCTAATTACTTGCAACAAGGAGTTCTATGTGCTACAAATAACTTCTGTTGGCTCATGGTTGGTTTTATTTATTAATATTAATATAAAATAATATGTAACAGTTATTATTATTACTATTATTATTGTTGTTATTCTTATTATTATTATGCTTTTTCGTCTCCCTCTCATTTTATTATTTAATGGGTATTGAGCTTAATCTCATTTCTTGTAGTGATGGGGCCTGATCTATTTGACATGGACAAGCCTGTTGTTTTCATGTACGAAGAAATACTTTCTTCAACTGATGGTTTCTCTGATTCAAATCTACTTGGGCATGGAACATATGGCTCTGTCTATTATGGACTTCTTCGGGAGCAGGTCTGTTGCTTTATGTTCTTTGACATTAGAATTCATACTTGTAATTATGTGAAGTCATCAGTTATTTAATTTTGAATCCTTTAGGAGGTAGCAATCAAGAGAATGACTACAACAAAAACGAAGGAATTCATGGCAGAGATGAAAGTTCTATGTAAGGTTCATCATAAAAATTTGGTAAAACCCCTTGTGCCCATGTATTAGAACTTTTTGTTTTACTTCTATCATTTCTAATTACATCAGCATTGACCCTAGGTTTGTTAATTTTGTCAAGGTAGAATTGATTGGCTTTGCAGCTAGTGATGATGAATTATTCCTTGTTTATGAGTTTGCTCAGAAGGGTTCTCTTCGTAGTCATCTACATGATCCTCAAAACAAGGGTAAGAAAGCATTTCTATGTGGTGGCGCAAATATTCATATAGAAATGACTGCAACAACTTAAACGTGTGCACTTAGTTGGTTCTTATGATGCCTTTTCTCTTTCTAGTATCTGCTCAAGATTTTTCTTCTTTTTGGTAAAACAATATGTTAACATATATTGATAAAAGAAAATGTTATTTCATGCTTGAATATTATAACTTACCTGCAATTGAGACATTATTCATGATATGCTCTTTCCAGGTTTGGGCCAGTTTTGATTATTATTTTGATCAGTAGCAATAAAAAATTTTACTATTAAAGATATAAAGCAAAATATACAAATTTGTTAGAGATGGTAGACTAGCATACACCATATACCCCAAAAGCTCTTACACATCTATTATGAAAAAAAGTGAATTGTCCTGTAGAAAGAAGTGTGTCGATCAAGATTACCCCATTGGATGAATCCATGATGGGTGAATCCTATGGATTGCAAACAAATGGGTTCCAAGCTCCAACTAAAGAAACTGGTATTTTTTTCCTGTATAATACAAACTCTATCCTGTTATGATTCTTCATTACCTGTACAATAACAATATACTTAATCTGGACTTAGGCTTCACCAAGTAGGATAAGTTGAGATTTTTGCAGAAGGATGGCGTTCCCCTCCTTTCTGTGGAATGGTCACCAAAGAGTTCTTTAGAGGAGCTTCCTATGTGGCCAGGTAGAGGGATGATAAGGTCTAGACTTTCCACCAGAAAGTACCCTCAAGATTTTCCATGTATTAAATTCCCTGTCAATGAAGTTTTATACCTTATCATGTATTCAATTTGTTCCAAAGTAATGCTAGACATTGCAGGTTTTACTCTCTGAATCGTCTAGGAAATGTGCCCAGAAGGAAAGGGTTTGTTCTACCACGATGGAAGGTACTTTGGGGTTGAAAGTTTCCCCAACAGTGGCCAGAGTAGGATCTCCTACTGGAAGATTGCTAGGTCATCTAGATCTTTTGCTATATGACTTGTCTACTGAATCCATACCTTGCCACCCCCTCCACACATGCATAAACATATAATAGTACACATTAGGCATGTATGTGTGTGTGTCTGCTGGAGTATATTGATGTTAGTAATATGTTAGCAATGCCAGAAGGCAACACTTTGTTGATCACCCTTTACCTCCATGTGCTACAGAGTACAGACATGGGTCTCACCATGTTTGATAGCATGCAATAGTCTAGGACAAAACATACAGTATTGTCTGATAGCATTTGTCTATTAATATATGGCGCCCCTACTTTTCTATGGCATAGCTCTGAATGTCACAAACTCACAATTGCAGATAATAATTCTATGTTTTATTCTAATTTTTCTTGCACTTTCACATTTATATCAACCTTATTGCAACCAATCTATGGAAACTAAAATTAAAAGGAAAGATAATACCATAATACTCTCTCCCCCTCCTTCCTCGGGTATGTATGTGCAGGCTTCAGTTAAATACAAGTTTCTTTTTAAAAAGCATCTTTTGCTCGTTTGAATGTAAAAGGGTCATTATCCAATGACGGCCCCAGCCATCCAGGTTCCTGGGAGGGGTAAACTGGATATGAATATTAACCTTTGGCATTTTTTTGGGCACATAGTCGCTGCTCTTAGACTCAAATCTGTGTTATCATGCTTGTCAGCCTGACATTTTACTATTTCATCAAGCAATGGCCCCTACTCTTTTGGATATAGAAGGAAAAAAAAAAGAAAAGAAAAAGGTGCAGGCTTCTGAATCGAATACCACCTTTTACCCAAAAGAAAATGATAGTACCATGGTACTTTTTTTTTTATTTCCATTTGCAGGCTCCAGTTGAGTATGTTTTCTCTTTACAGCATGTGGAATACAGTATTACACTATTTGATTTATTTCTCTAACTTGTATAATTGGGTATGGTTATTTATTTATGTATTTCTGAGGGAATACTATGTACATGCATTTGGTCCTTACATTTGCGGATGATATCTGGATCTCCAGGTCATACATCTCTGTCTTGGATTATGAGGGTTCAGATAGCACTTGATGCTGCTAGAGGTTTGGAATACATTCATGAGCATACCAAAACACATTATGTCCACCGTGATATAAAGACAAGTAACATCTTACTTGATAGTGCCTTCAGGGCAAAGGTTGTGATTGCTTTGTGCTTAATGATTTCTGTTCCTAGTTTTCATTATTTTCATCTGATTGACTCAGTAATCCTGATGTAGATTTCTGATTTTGGGCTATCAAAACTTGTTACAAAACCTGGTGAAGGAGAAGCTTCTGCAACAAGAGTTGTGGGAACTTTTGGTTACTTGGCGCCAGAGTAAGCAAATTAAGTGTTGAAGAGTAATTCAGATTTATGATAAGTTCTTCTAGAATCAAGTTTTTCAATGCTTCCTGTTGCGGTTATTTGAACAGATATTTGAGTGAAGGCCTGGCAACAACCAAAAGCGATGTTTATGCATTTGGTGTTGTTCTTTTTGAGTTAATATCAGGAAAGGAAGCAATTACACGAACTGAAGGCGTGTTGATGAAAAATCCTGAAAGACGATCATTGGCATCTATTGTAAGTCTTGCTGTTGGCTGTTATTATTTTATTAGAAGGTAAGGAATAATAAAAGATCAGCACCCATGTACAACAAAGTAATGTGCAATGGGAATAAAGGAGAAATTATTTTCATATATAAGAGTCATCTAACTATAAAAAAGATAGTATCAAAAAAAGAATTATAAGGCCTTAGTTCCTTTGAATAGTTTATGAGCAGTCACCCATGAGTATAACATTCCTTGAATTTTTCTTGCCACCATTTACTCTAAAGAATAACATTCTTTGTGTAGCATAAATTCAGGCATTCTTTCACCCCAAATGATCAAAAAATACAGCAGTAGGCATCATCCTCCACACTAGCTGCTAAGTGCTAACATTCCAGAAGTTCTTATATTGATTCCAGCAAGCATCCTCTCATTCTAAATATCCCTTGTACCTTCATCCACATCTTGGTGGAGAATCTACAATGGAGTAACAGGTGGTTCACCATTTCTATACATCCATATAGATTACAATTAGTGTTGTCCATCACCATCCCCCTTCTCAACAAATTTCCCACTGTTAGATACCTGTCTAGCATTGAGGTCAACACCAAAAACACCACTTTTGAGGGAACAGCAGTACACCATATTTGTGAGTTTGGAAACTTGCCTTCATCTCGGAGTATCAACTTATTATTAGAAGGACCTCACTGAAAATTTCCCTGATTTTCCACATGTCCAAACCATCCTATCCATCTAGCTGACGATGAGACATTTGGTTGTAAATTCATTATATTAGGATATGAGTTTCTTTTAAGAGGGTAATGTTGTCTTAGCTTGTTACATTTTAATGTCAATTGTAAATTTTGTTGCATTTTCTAGTGAGCCATTGGAGTAAATTCAACGCATATGATATAATTTCTGTAAACTTCATATTGTTACTTTACCTTATTCCAAGTTATCTTCATTTGAAATTGGAGTTTTTTCTTCATATTTTCAGCCTATGTTCAACAAGTAGTTTTGTTCCTATACTTGACAAAAATTGTCTTGACATTAGCACATTTTCTATTGTGATTCTTATGCAAACATCAAACCATGTACCTTATAATTTATTTTTAATAGAAACCTTGCCAAAATGATCATCAACATAGTGCATGTTTCTCCAGGCATGTAGATGCCCAATTTGTTTTTTTTTTTTTTGAGCTAAAATGTTGACCATTCATGTCCATTCCAGAACACCTTTCAGAGATTTGATTTTACTGTAGTGAAACTAAGCTCCCAATTTTGTCACACAGTGATCATAAAGTTTCCAAAATTATATCATTTTGACCTTTTATAGAGTAAATTCTCGGGCTTGGTGGGTCTTGTTAAGGTCCTTAAATTGCAGTTTCATGGACCTCATTTTCCTTGCACCGTGGACTTATTTGACCTTATCTTGTTCTGGACTATCCATTCATAAGCATGTAGTACCACAGAATATGGACTTTTACATTGTCATATCTGATTTTTGGTCAATTTCACAGATGTTAGCGGCTCTTAGGAACTCTCCCAACTCAATGAGCATGTCAAGCTTGAAGGATTGCATTGATCCTAGTTTGATGGATTTGTACCCACATGATTGTGTATACAAGGTAAAGTAGGAAAAGGAATTTCACTTTTGTTCCGACTCTATATTGTTTATAATATCTATCATGGTTGGTCTTTCTGCCCAATCAAGTACTGTCATGAAGCCTTCAGCCCTTGTGAGGACAATGATCCAGTTAATATTTTCCCCATGCAATAGAACTGAAAAATAAAGGGAAAACCCAGAGAAATGTTTCTATATTTTTGCTTTCCAACCAAAATTCTATCACTTTTGATACACATTAATAAAAGATATGATCGGTCATTGAAAAGCAATCCATTTGTATGCACCAACACAGATCCCAGATTTTCTTTTTCTTATTTCTACTGGCAACAAAACAAAAATGTCGATATTGTTGATGCCCCATAGTCAAGGAAACTTGAGTCCAGGATTGACCCACTTGCAAACAAAATGATCTCTCTAATACTAGCGTAATATCATAGAGAACAATAAGACATTTCTAGAATCAAAGATAGTGCAAATGATTTTGTATACCCCTTATCTCATTTTGTGGTGCATCTCTTCATGCAGATGGCCATGTTGGCAAAGCAGTGTGTAGATGAAGATGCCATTTTACGACCAGATATGAAGCAAGTGGTGATTTCCCTTTCACAGATCCTCCTCTCCTCTATAGAGTGGGAAGCAACACTTGCTGGGAACAGCCAGGTTTTTAGTGGCCTTGTTCAGGGAAGATAAATTATGGATCAGTTTCTTTTCCAAACCACTATTGTGACAACCTTGTTCCACTTAACATTTTCTCTTCTGTTGTATGTGTGCATAGTAGGCTAGTAGCCAAAGAGATCCACTCAAGTGGCTCTCTACAATTGAAATATTGTATTATTTTATGATATCAGCTTTTTGTGTGGGAAATTTTGATGTGACATAAGATGTACTAAGAGCTGAAGAAGGGTTTGGTTGCTTTTCTTAGCTCATGCTATTTTGAGTATGTTGATATCCATCAGTACTGCTGTATTGTTTCCCTTTTCTGATATTCTCTTATGGAATACAGTGCAAATTGAGAAGTGTTAAAAATAAAGCAGGTTAATCTAAGGCTCAGTTTGGAAAGAGTACAAATGCAAATATGTACAGCGTAAATTCATACAAAATAGTATAAAGTATAAGGTTTTGCACTCGTTCTCTATAATAGGGATGCAGCCTATGGATCATGTAATTAATTGTAACTGTGGTTCAAACGCAGGGCCCCTTATCCACCATTGCCATGGTATAGACCTCAATTGCACCTTTAATAAAACCACGATGTGATTAGCATAATCATATGTTACTGACAAGGAGTCCCAATCTCCTTATGTATAATCTTCCCTCAACCTCATTTGCCTAGATGAACTTAGCATGTGTGTGTTAGAACTTTTGAGTAAATCAATAGGGCTGCAAATGTATCTGATTGAATTGGATATGGGTAGATCCAATTTTGATTTGTTCATATTCAGATTAAAATCGAATTTAGCATGAATAAATTAAACTCAAAATGGTCAAAATATTACATGTTATTAATAAAGTGAATTGAAAATAACTGATATTGTATGGTCATGAATAAAATGAATTGAAATAACTTGTTTGAAGCTTGAACCTGACTCTTAGTAAAAACACAATATTCAAACCAACTTTAATAATGAATACAATATGATAGGATTTGAAATTGAGATTGGACAAGCAGGTATCATTCTGCAGCCCCATAAATTATGTTAGGTCATCCTAATAATGACACTGGATCAGTATATTTTGTTGATTGGTCATCTACCCATGTACCCCCCCCCCCCCCAAAAAAAAAAAAAAAAAAAAAACCGTCCGGCAAGGACAAAAAACCTGTGGCATTAATGGATAACAAAGCCTCGCCTCCCCTGTTTGAGATGATCTAAAGTGAACTCTGCAGTCAGAGCCCTTTCCATTTAGATAGGTTGCAACTCCTCTAACGTTTGCCATAGTATGTGGATATTGTCTAACGCTAACTAAAATTGCTAAGCTTGTACTGTCCGAAGGTGTTACACGCTGGCCCACAGGATTACCAGTCCACAAGTGACCACCGCAGTAGAGTAAATATATGCTTCAACACGCTTTGTAAATTTAAATTCATGTCTCCTATATCTGAGACTGAGAGAACCTTGAGCATGTGTCACGTCACCTTGTTTTCCATCGGCCAATGGCCCTTTCCCAATGAAAATAAACTCTGTTTTTGGGTCAAACTTCCAGGAATCGATATTACTAAGACACTGATGAAAAGTGGGATACAGGGTTCCATAATTAACCTGATTAGGATGCATTTGTACACTGTTTAGTGGATGTGTGGAAACCTTTGCTGCTTCTCTAGTCTCTACAAAAATTAGTATAGTTGAAAACTGAAAAATGATATGGACACCCTTACGATCAGAGAGGACCAACATCTCTATAACCAGGAAGATGAGCTCACATCTCTTGCAACTTTGACTGATTGCGGTATTTTCTTACCACTACCAATAAAACGTAGCACAATTCCCTTTATTTCAAATATTTTAAAACACCCAGCGATCTGCTTTTTGATTCAGTAGCTAGCATGTCCTGGTTTTTAAAGGTGCTTAGTCATTTGAAAATGTTCGTGGCAAATTCAGCGTGTAGATAGGTTAGTCACGTGGCAAAAGCTGCGGGGATGAAACTTCACCTGCTGTCGAAAGAAGAGAAACAAGGTTGTGGAGGGAGGGCTATAGGTTCCAGAGCAGCCACACCACTAAATAATTCACCGAAAGTAACAATCCTTTACGTGAAATTGTTCCTTGGAATGGAATAAAGTTGCAAGTATGGAATCAATCGCAGAATAACTTTCTTTTCTTATCAAACCCGTTTTCATCTTCTTCCTACTTTTCTCTCATCTTTCCTGTCACTCTAGAACTCGAATTTTTCCAGTTTTACAGCACCAGAAATCATCTCATTCAATTTCAGCCAGAGAGAGAGAGAGGAAAGAACATGAATTGTTTCAAATCAGCTCGCTCCAGAAAGAGGTCTCCTACCAAAATGACCTCTCCTGAAACTGTTTTCGCATCAAAACAAGAAAACGTAGAAAACAAAAGAGCTAAAGAAGAAATGTTGTTAGAGATCCCAGGTTGTACAGTTCACCTGATGGAAGGAGGAGAGGCGTTGGAACTTGCAAAAGGAGTTTTCAGACTTGTCAGGCTCACAGAAGATGGCATTTCCCTCGCCACAATTGTAAAAGTTGGTGATGAACTCCAATGGCCTCTAACAAAAGATGAGCCAGTGGTGAAACTCGACGCACTCCATTACCTCTTCTCGTTGCCGATGAAAGACGATGATCCTTTGAGCTACGGTGTGTCTTTCCTCGAACAGTTCAAAGGTGATCTGGGTTTGTTGGATTCCTTTTTAAAGGAGCATTCGTGCTTTACTGGGTCTTCTTCTACCCAAACTGGGGCTGTCGATTGGAAGGATTTTGCTCCGAGGATTGAAGACTACAACGGGGTTTTAGCAAAGGCCATTGCTGAAGGAACAGGCGAGATTGTGAAGGGCATTTTCAAGTGCAGCAATGCCTACACCAAGAAGGTTTGAATTGAGTGTTTTGTTTCTGTTGTCATAAAAACAGAAATTGCCAAGAATCAATCAAATGGAAGTTTCTACTGCCAAATAAAGAAAACACACCCGTGGCAACTGGCAACAACATTCCATCAAAATATAAGAAGCCAAATCTTAGTTACTCTTAGCCCCTGAAACCTACTCTATTGTTTTCTTAACCTGTACTTTAAGTTATTCTTAGCCCCTGTTTTCTTAACCAGTTGTACAAATTAAGAGAGTAACGAACTGCAGGTTCAAAACGGAGGAGAGATGATTGTAAGTCGTGTTGGTGAGGAGAAGAACAAAGTCTCCACAACAACAACGGGAAGTAAAAGCAGCAAAAGTTCAGCTGGGACAAAAAAGAGTGGAGTCCAGAAGGGACTAAAACGGTATTCTAAAATGGACTCAGTATCTTAAGGCCAGTTTGTTAGTGTTCTGTTTATTAAGCAAGATCAGGTCATATGCGACATAGTATTACTTGTTACTTGTGTTACAGGGTGAGAAAGCTATCAAAAATGACAGAGAAGATGAGCAAATCATTACTAGATGGTGTGGGGGTTGTCACTGGATCCGTGGTTGTGCCTTTGGCTCGATCCCAGGCTGGGAAAACGTTCCTAGCCATGGTCCCTGGAGAGGTCCTCCTGGCTTCACTCGATGCCGTCAGTAAGTGAAACAATGAAACCCAAAATGGATATGCTTTATTCAGGATGTTGTTTATCAGTCTCTCACTCTCACACGTAAACTATAATACTAACGGTTTAAATGTACAAATTAAATGCAATAAAGTTTTTGTTATCTACATAAGAGATTAAATAACCAGGGTTTCAACCTTGGAAGTGCAGACAAGGTTTTAGATGCAGTAGAAGTTGCAGAAAAACAAGCTCTCTCTGCCACCTCACGTGCCGCAACCAGAATGGTCTCCCAAAGGTAAAAGAGCTAAAACAACTTAACCAATACTTGGGATCCCGTGCCATTTCCATTCTCAGATTCTGATTTCTGAATGCTGGAAAATAAGATGTTTTAATATTTCATTTCCCAGATTTTCTCGTCTTTTATTTTTTGCTCTCCCATAGTTATTGTTACTGATTCAACTTGATCCATTGGCAACAGATTTGGAGAAAACGCAGGGGAAATTACAGAAGATGTCTTTGCAACTGCAGGGCATTGTGCTGGCACTGCTTGGAACATATTCAAAATTCGGAAGGCCATCAATCCTGCTTCTTCTGTTCCCTCAGCAATACTGAAGAGTCCAGCAACAAAGAGGAGACAGTAGATTGTTCAAACAGCCCAACCTATTCTATCTGATCTACCCCATCTGATGGCACCATCTAACTAGATATCGGTCTCACTTGCATTACCATAGTTGGTGGTATAAACTCCATGGATCAGTTGTGTGTAACAGAAGTCGAGTAAAGAAACTAATTGTTGCTTCATGTGTTCCCCTGGATTTACTAAAAAATCTGCTTCCCGGGCCACATAATTTCATGTGTCTACTTGATTTACTTTAGTTCCTGAAATATAAGTTTAAATGTGCTTGCATATTTTATATTAGATATGCCACTAAACCATAGTTGGGATAAGGCTTGGATGATGATGATGATTGATGATGTTGGTGCCACTAAACCCCATTCCTTGGGAACCATCTGACTACAGTAACACCATCAGCCAAAAAGAAGGTAACAAGGTCAAGGGAACAGCCTACATTTCTCACCTAGCATGCTAAAAATATGGTACATCTTTAGTTGAAATGGAGTTTTCTCTTTGGACCATTTTTTGTTCTTATCTAATTATCTTTATTTAAGATAGTGGTTTATTTGGCAAGCTGGAATGAACATGGAACCGTATGCTGTGAATGGAACAAGGAATATTTACATGGGTAAGCTTAATTCCATCGCAATGTGAAACTTACGTAATTCCACGTCTTCTAATAACACATTATCATCACACTTGTGGGGGTTAACTTAAAAGTAATTTGTTATAGATACAGAGCATGCATAGTAGTATTTTGAGGTCAGACCCCTGCCAATGCTAGGATACAGGTATTCAGAGGCTCAAGAAAATGAGATGTGAATTGCATATATTCTCTCATGTGGGTGGAGCTGTAAAAGGGGCAGTTAATCCTACAAGCAGGAGCTAGTACATTGAGATTACAATCCCCTTACTTACAGAGTGAAGCCAGTATACGGCGGGGTGGATCAAATGATCGTCTAGAATGAAGGACTGCCAAGTTATCAAGCAGCAAAACATCACCTTTATGCCAAGGGATGGCAACACATTCCTCATCCAGGATTCTCAGGCAGTCGTAGATAATATCAGCTGGCAATGGTGTCCCATCTCCAAAGGTTACAGCCTTTTCAGGATCATTGCGTGCATCTTTCCACCCTGTATAAGCAGCCACCATGCTATTAAACCAGATTTTGCGTCCCCTACTCTTGTCAAATTTAATAGCTGGTATTGGACCCATTACTGTTTTCACACCTTCCTCTATCCAATCCAACTTCATGCCCAGCCGGGCAGCCCTGTCACATGTTTTTATAAGAGGGATGAGATCATGCGACTAGACATTTTCTTTCCTTGCACAGTCCAAGTATCGGATGCCAAAAACATATGCCCAGAAAAAGATTAGGTATAAAAAAGATATACAAACACTATATTTCAAGTGCTAGAGAGAACATTTCTTGGTACAAATGTAAAACCTCGAGAATATAAGCATGAAAACACGGTTTACTGTTTTAGAGCAACCACTTCATGCCAAAAGAAGAAGAAGAAAAGAAAGAGGTTAAGTCTGCATCCAGTCCACTCCAAGTGGAGGTAGTAAGGCTTTGGAAGGAGTACAACTACAAATATGTAGAGTGCAAAACCTTGTATCGTGTATTATTTTGTATGTATTTGTACTGTACATATAAATATTTGTATTTGCAATCTTTCCAAACTAAGCGCTCAGTTTGGAAAGAGTACAAATACAAATATGTAGAGTGCAAAATCTTATATTTTGTATGTATTTGCACCGTATATATTTGTATTACTCTTTCCAAACAGAGCCATTGTAGTCATAAAAAATGCTAAAAAGAAGGGAAAAGCAAAGGTGTGCCCCCTGTTACATTTCTAGGTAGACAAACAATTGCTAAAGTTTCTGTCTCGATAACACTATAATAGCATATATTGCATTCGATGATCACCCAGATAGAGAATCCAAGGTTGGTGTGCACGATATGTACGAAATTAAAAAAGAGAGTAGGAGAAGAATTTGAACCTTTCCTCGGCTATGCTTCTGTCATTGGTTAAGAAGGTGGATTGCCAACCACGGCCGATGGGAGAAGAAGGGTCATCTCCAGCCCCTAATATCCTTGTGTAAAGAAGACCAAACTCCTCCAATCTCTCAACAAATTCCGGATATCTCTGTTTCATCTTCTCATAGACAAGATGACTGAGAACAATGGGAGTTTCTCCCCCACATGCTGGCTCCTCTTCACAAAAGAAAAACAATTTTGATGGGAACTCTGGCACCTATTTGATCAATATTGTCAAGAGTCAATACTCTAACACCCATTTTTGAAACCCAAGTTAAAGTTCATTCAATAAATTCATAGAACACAGAGACGAGCTCAATTGAACAAAGCAGGGGAACAATCAAGTATGAAACTTTATATTCCTTTAGAGAAAGAGAGTTGGATTGGCGGGTCTATCACTGAACTTGTAACTTTTGGTAGCAGAGATATGGATGAACATGGCCTTTAATTAAAAACACTGTATTCAATGTAAAAGTTCTGATATAACCTGAGCCATTTCATGGTGAAACGGGATCTTCTGATCAGGTGGGGATTCATTCGCCGTAAAGACTCTTCCGATGACGTTGGTTCGGGGAGCAGCTCCACCGACATATGGTAGCTCCTTGTAACCGAAAGCCTCGACAACGGCATTGAAGTCCGAAGCTGAGCTTACAGGGAAACCTCTGAGAAGAATCGCTCCGCTCGAGTGAAGCAGACCTTCCAGCCATGGCTTGTGATCTTGTATGCTCTTCAAGAATCGGGAGAGATTGAATGCAACGGGGGGATCAGGATAGACGACTGCGGGGAAGACTATGCCGTCCAAGGATTTCTGCTGAGGTAAACCAACTCCTTCCACAAGCCCTCCCGGCATTATGGCTTTTTGCCTTCTCCTCACGATTAATGCTAACGTGCGCTCCGCGATACGGGAACTAGGTTTGAGCCTCTCTCTCTCTCTCTCCGAAAGATTCTGAGATGAAAGGGGATAACAAATTTTTTCGGCGAACGATAAAAGAGAAGAGAGGGATGGAGTTGATGTCCATTTCTGTCACTTTGGCACTTGGCTGCTTTGGGACCAGATTATGCTAACTTACGCCAAGGTATATCCCCTTCTTTCTGTCATGTTAACGGATAAGTGCTGCACATGATGGATCGTTTTCCAGCATTTGGATAAATCGTGTGGACAAGCTGCGCTGAAGCTGTTTGTGGATTCTGATCAAACGTAAAAGATGCTGTGGAGTGCGGAGGTCCTTCCTCCGCTGGATCAAAGATTCAAAAGCGAAAACATCTTTCTTATTAATGAACGGTGAGATATGCATGCTTCCGGAATTATGCTAACATGCGCTAATGTGATTTCCTCTCTGACCTTGTTTCACGTCCAGGTTCAACTGTTCAAGAGTTATCTTCTGCCTCCAATTATGGCTGCAACCAGCACACGCATCGAATCGAATCGGATGTAGGTAGATTCGAATTTGATTCGTTTATACTCGAATTCGGGCTGGATCTTGTCCGTCTAATGTGTATTGGATTCGAAATTGAATAAAACTAAAAATGATAAAAATATTTATATTACTAATAAAATGAAGTAAAAATTACTATGTATTCCATGAACAAAATGAATTAAAAATTACTTATATCAAACTTGAGCATATCACAATTTACTATAAAGTATAAATTCAACATTTTTTATTTAATTGAGAGGTGGCTCAATTGATACGTTAACTGATTTGTTTGGACAGAAGCGCAAGGGGGTGGGGGGCTGTTAGGCTGTATTTGTCATTCCTTATGCCTTATTTTAAGGATTCATCTATTTTTTATAATTAAAATGAAATGCCCTTTTTAATGTTTTTTTTTTTTTTTTATATATATCTTCCTTGAAGGGATATACAACGGGTGTAGCTCATCCCCCAACTTATAACCCCTCGACCAATTAAAATGTCTTTATGAACACTAAATTTTTAATTGTGAAAAGGAGATAAATCCTTAGAATAAAGAATGTTAAATGCAGCTTTAGTGTGATGTTGTACTATTCAATGGCCCCTAAATGGATACTATTAAGTGAATCCCAACTTGGCCTTTGTTATTTACTTAGACTGCATTTGGCGTTCCTTATTTTAAGAACTTATCTCTTTTGCAGCTAAAAACCCATTGTTCATAAAGGCATTCTAACTGCAAAAAAAGAGATAAATTCTTAAAATAAACAATGCCAAATGCAGCCTTAATGAATTACGATGCTATTTAAATGGAGTAAATGACCTTTAGGGGTAATTGGGTGAACGTTCGTTCCAATAAAGTTTATCATGGGCAAAATTAGATTTAAATTACTTAATTCTTTCCCATTTTAATAATTACTTAACCTCTCCAATACTTTGACCTTTGCAAAAGCTCCCCTCACGTTTTAAATAAATATGTGAATGCACGTCTTTCATTAATTACATTGTAAATAGTGTCATTGAAATTATAACTATGCCCTTGTTATAAATGTGTATAGCGAGTATTGTTATTTATTCATATTAGGGTTGTAAATGGATTGGACTCATTTACATCTCCATCCAATATAATTATCAAACCTTTTGGATTCAAAACTGATCCAAATTTTGACATTTGGGACTTGGTTTTGGATTTAATCTATATCTGAGTTATTGAGCTTAAAATGAATAAGTTTTAAATCTACATCTAAACTGGTTATTAATCGGATGTAAGTTCTAACATTTAAATTTAGAATAATTAAATTTGAAGTTGGATTGGGTAATGAATTTTGGAAGTCAGTTGACAACCCTAATTCATATTACATGAATATGGTGTCTACTAATAGGAAAGATTTAAGTTCAGACCCAACTTGGCCCCTTATTCACTTAATGAAAAGTGAATAATAAAATTCACTCAAATAAAAGTGAATTGACTTTTGGGGGGTAATTTGATAATTTTTCATCTTAATAAAGTTTTTTATGGACAATGAGGATATTAAAAAAAATAAAACATGACTTTAGTCTTTCCTTTCAAGTCAAACAGGTTGATACATGATTTCATAATTATATAATAAAAACTCAAAAGTAGATAGAAATAAAAAAATATATAGAAAATACAGAAATTTGTCAAAACAGTTTGTGTACTTCTCTAGTATTATGTGATTATCATATTAAAGAATATATATATATATATATATATATATAATAACAAACATTATTATTAACGATGGATATAAAATACAAAATTCAAATTCACTAGCATACCATGCTTTAGTTATTTATCCTTCTTAATGGGTTCTAATAAGGATATTGAAATTATTATTGTTTAAAGTTAGCATGTATGCATATGCATATTTACTAGTTTATATAAATATACATATCCAATTAATTAGTTATAAACTTGGGTAAATTACAAAGACCCCCATTCCATGGGGTTAGTGACAATTACCCCCTAAACTTTCTTTTGGGACAAATACCCCCTTAACTTTTACATAGTGGCAAATACCCTTTAGCTATTAAGTTATATGCCGATAGGGATGGTAATTTCCCTATTTCCCTGATCCCCATGGTAACCACCCTAAATAGGGCGAGAATGGTGATGATTTTCTCCCATGAGGATGGGGATGGGGAATTGGTGGGGGCAGGGTAGGGAGGGAGAAAGCACTCCACACATATCTATCTATCTATCTAAAGTTAGATGACAAAATCCATTAAATTATCAAAATATCCATTAGAAGTTTCTTTATTTTCTTTTCATTGCCCTTTTCTCGAAAAAAAAAACACACTTTTCTCTTTAAAAGACATTTTCTCTTAAATTATCAATCCAATGGAATTTTTTTTTTTGGGAAATTGTCTAAAACTCACCATGTCACTAACTTGACGTTAAACAGACTAACAAGCGTTAATATATTATCATTTTAACCTTCATAGAAAAATATAAAATAACGGGTGTTAACATAGTACCATTTTGATATTTAGACATGAAAAAAGGAAAAAGTTCAAATATAAAATATATAAAAATATAGAAATTAAAAAATATAAAAAATTATAGAAATGCAAATAAAATGAAAAATTATTTCAAATTCTAGAAACTATAGAAATTCAAAAAACAAAATCAGAAAGTAAAAATTATAGAAAAACACAAAAAATTATAGAAAACATAGAAATTACAAATAAATAACAAAAAATACAGGAAAATTTATAGATTGCAGAAAATGTAAAAAAAAAAAACAGAAATTATAAAAAAACATTGGAAATTATAACAAAACACTAAAAATGCCAGAAAAAAGAAAATTGAAAACTAAAAAAATACCATTTTCCTCTAACTCGCCATTCAAGGGTAATTTGATCATGAAAATTGTTATTTATGCTGGCATGGACACCTCTGTTAAGAAGCATTAATGGTGTACTAACGGAAGGTGACTTTTTAGAAAATAAAAACTAACTGACATGGTGAGTTTTAGACATTTTGAAAAGTTGAGGTAAGTTTAAGGGAAATGTTGAAAATTCATGGTGAGTTTTAGACAATTTCCCTTTTTTTCTATCCAAAAAGCAAAAGCAAATCTAACTTTGCTCACATCGTCTGCATCGTGGTTGCAGAAAAAAATCTGCAACCACGAATAACAATCCACCACGTCATTTAACGTAATAGAGCAGTGGAAAGGAATATTTAATGGTCGTTTTGACTGAAATGAATAATTTATTATTTTGTTAAAATTTGAATACCCGCCAAACCTTTTTTATCATTATTAGATGAGATCAAATCAGCCCCCCACAACGTCTCACAGCACATCTTCACCGTGTATTGGGAACATCTCCCGATGATGACATCATCATTTCTGATATTATCATCGGGAGATGTTCCCAATACACGGTGGAGATGTGCTATGGGACGTTGTGGGGGTCAATAGGCTGATTTGAAGGAGTTTTGGGTTTGCATCTGCCCCCCACATACTTGCCCCCCAAAAATGTCCCACAAAACCGGAACGCGACGCGTGTCATGACACACTTACATTAAGCAAGACACATGCATAACCCATTTCATGCCATGAAATGCACCTCCATTAATTCCTCTCTTGCCCAAAAGCATTTCTTCTCCCATACTCCTCCATTCAACCTCGAACTGAAACTCTTGGCACCGGCCCCCTTTCGTAACCCACTCACTAGAGATTAACCCGGTCAAGTTCCGTCGGTCAACGCCGATGGCCATACCGGCAGGAGATAAGTACTCTGTAAGTTTTTCTCATTTCTTATATTTTTTTTTGTTTTTTGTTTTCATTTGTTTTCTAACATTCACAGATTTGAACCCAACGGAGTGGGAGCCTCTTGACACCATTTCAAACCCTTGACACCCCCGAAATTCAAAAGCCCTCCAAAATTCAAAACTCTCCGGAATTTGAGTTTTGACTTGAGGTGCTTGGCCATGGCTAGAACAGCCTAGGAGGAGGAGTGGGAGTTGTGCAATGATGACGGCTTTGTTCACAAGAGAAAGAAAAGAAGACAAGATTATATTGTTGTTGCTGCACCACCAGTATTGGCTTCTAATCCAGTGGTGAAGCAGAGGCAGCGGAAGAAGAGGACGCTGCTGAAGCTGAGAGATCAGTTGCGACAAATGAATTTGATCATAATTCCCTTTGTAATGATTGTCATGTATTCTCTCATGAAATATTAAAGGTTCTTTGTCAATATTCCATCTCTCTTTATTAGTATTTACACTGTAATACGATCTCTCTCTCTCTCTCGGAAGAGGCAATTGGTTTCAACAATGGTAAAATTTTTTAAGTCTTAGGCTTCATTTGCCTTTCCTTATTTCAAGGACTTACCTCTTTTTGGCGTTGGGGCATTTTAATCGCAAAAAGGAATCCTTAAAACAAGGAATGCCAAATGCAGCCTTAGACTTAGAAGCCATATCTGCAGAGATCATGTAACAGCAATGGAAAGCAAAGATTTAAAGGAGCACCAGTGCTAATGAGAGTATATATCTACTGAGTACTTGCTACACAACACTATGACTCCTGCTACTACAGATATACAGATAAATATACATTGCCTTTCTACAAC